ATCCCAAGGCCTTCGAGAGTTTCCGCGAGAGATGCGTTCGCCGCGTGCGCGTATGCGTTTGATAAGCGGTGAAAAATTTTGACGCGCGTTAAACGCGTCGTTCCGGGTCGACGGCCGGCGGTTTGAATTATCGGCTGATACGCTATCACGATACGGTATTACACACGAGATGGGAGGGGGATACCTCCTGCGGTTCGCGCGCACATAAATATATATATATATATATATATGTGTCGGCCAATGTAATTTATTTATCATTACTGACAAGCTGACCACGACTATTATAATTTATCGTAACGCATCAATTACCGTTTAACGTTGAAACAATACGATCGCAGCGCCGGCCGGCCGGTACTACGTGCGACGTGTACATGTGTGTGTACCGTTTTGAATTATCGGCTTATCGGTGCGTTATCGGGCCCGTCGATGCGATCGCTCGTCGGACCGCTTCCTATTAACGTCGGTGATTGTAAACGTTTATCGCGGTTTGCATCTCGATCGTAGCTATTAGCTCGTTAGGATCTTTTTACGGTGAATTATTGCGTCCACGCGAATGTTAAAACATAGCGCGTCTTCACGCACACTCGAATCAAATCGGAAATAGCGCGCGACGTCTCCTGATCTTCCGATCTGTTTACCTTCGCTTCAAGAACTGTTAGGATCGCTCGGTAATTGCCTACATACGTATGTTATTGTTTTCGAGACCACATGATCTTCAGCCGGTGTGATACTTTAACTATACAATTTAACACGAATAGCTGGGAAATGGAAACAGGTATGGCATAAATAGTGTAATGCCGATTATAATCCGAAATGCAAAGGATTAATAAAATATCACTATGTTGCATTTCTAAATGTGTGTTATTAAAGATTCGATTCTTTCTTTCTATCCCCGTCACTGAACGTTTTCGGTGTTGTCGCGAGACAACTAGCTCGATACATTTGTATACAATCACCACGCCGCAGGGTTCTCCAATCTCAGCGATTCTCGGATTCTCGTATCATTAGGCCTGTGAGCGACTCGTTAGAAAAGTCAACAAATCTTTTGCGACAACCTAGCATTACGATGTTAGGATACCGCGTTACTCCCTCGAGACAAAAAGCACTGAACTGCTAATCGCGTAATTGTCCCTCGGCAAGAGGATACGCTCTCGCTTCGTCCCGCAGGAATCACGGGGCACGCGAGCGCAAGGAAGTGACCTACCGCACGCATGGATAATAAAAAGCATTTGCACCCGTAAATACAAGGGCCGTTCTCTCTCTCTCTCTCTTTTTCTCCCTTTCCTTCTCCCCGGTCTTGTACTGGTTCCGAGCATACCGGGAGCAGGGCCGTAAATTTATCAGCCGACCATCAGCCATGGTAAGCAGCGGATAATGCGCCGTGCACAGAGGCGGTTGCGTGCGTGCGTGGTACCGATGCGTAATTGAGCGTACGCGTCGCGAACGCATTTCTATATAGAAAGACGAAGGCTGCGGGGCTGATCTCCGATTAAACCTTTTGGCTCTGGAAGTAGCAAATGCCGCCGTGATTTTTACACGAGCGCTCCTTTCGCATCCAGAATGTGCCCGTAATTCCTTCGCCGCGCATTCACTAAACTCTGGGAGCGTTAATTGTTTTACAAATATCAAAGAACACAAGACGAAGGATTTTTACCGAGCTATCGATGAGTCTAATGAATGGCTAACTAATGCCATATTTTCGGCGATAAAATCCAAATGATCGGAAATGAAAACTGGCTGTTCTTGAATTCACGTAATATCCCGCTACGTTGTTATCATCATTTTTAGATCAGGCGACGCGGAATAATCCTTGCATATTGTCAGATGCCGGCTAGCCCGAACACCCGACTCTTATTTGCAACCGTCGCCGGTTGTACTGGTTACATACGGAACGAAAGAAAAAAGACATTAATTCGATGCGTGAAACGAGAGTGCTGTTTTACGAAAAAAAAAGTGAAACATCCTTGACGCGGTAGCTGTGAGTTAACGTCGCGCTACGTTGTACACGTCGTGTGACGCCGGCATTCCCGTCGTGTTATTTGCCATCGGTGATCATAATTTCGCGGATCTCTCCCGTCACGAGTGCACGTCGCTCGTGCAACGAACGTGCTTGGGCGCGCGCGCGAATGTGCGGATAGATAATGCGAACCCGTTTCTCTTGAAGCCTCGGGCGTTACATTTAGATAGAAGGGAGACTGCGGCCGACCGCCTATTTCTCTCCGCGCGACTTTTATTATCGATCGCATTGATAAATTCTTACGCGCGTATCTCTCGCTCACAATAGCGCTTTTCATTCCCCCTTCGCTTCGCGCGTAGGATTTTATTGGGACGCGACGAATTATCGTGCGAGCTGTGTTTTCACAGATTACGATCCCACGTTCCTACAATGCGAACTAATAGCGGCTTCCCTCCACGTGACGTGCACGTTGGATCGATGAATTGTCTATGATCTATGATCCCCGAGTTTGTGCGACCGAGGCACAGAAGCACGTTGTTAGAGCCGATAAACAATTTTGCAAGACGACCGCGCGTGGTGATTGAAAAGCTCGTTGTTCGTCAGATTTTTCATCCGAAGTAAATAGTGCGTATAGAAATAATCGCGCTTTTCGCCACTCTCAACGGCCTGTATCCGTGAAATTACTGCGAAATGCTCCTCTCCCCGACCGCGCATTCGCGACGCATAATCGCATAGTGCAATAACTGTTTGCGGATAAGATGATTTCGCGCTCAAAATGTCTTCATAATGGTATCGATTCATTACTATTGGGTCCTTTCCAAGGTAAAGCTAAGTTTCCTCGAGTTGCACCATGGTATATTTTTTCGAAATACTTCGCAACATTCTCTGGTCAACCCCCGAAATTTAGTTTTATTTTTATTTATTTGTGGCTTGAAATTTCAAATTCCTTGCTCGCTAATAGAAAAATAAATTTTGTGTGAAAAATACTATTAATATTGTTTACAAAAATTACGAGTAAAACAAGTGATTTGACATCTCAGAAGATTGCAGAGGTAAAAGCGTCGATTGACACCGGAAATTCTTCTTTTTCTTCTTCTTTTAGTGCCATACCTGTGTCCGAGCGTAGGCGACCTCTCTCATATACCTGTGGTGATCATGTTGATTATACACAAGCAAACTATTCTAATCGAGTAAAAATAAAATTAACTCTTTTTCTCCTCCTAACCTTTATTCTATTAAAAAATCAAAGTGCGTCCAACAATATGGCTAGGGATTGCATATTCGGCGGTGTAATTCATGCAAGGCATATCAATAATACTCTAACATAAATACTCTAACACAGAATATACACGCGTCTCCGCTGACTGCCGTTAATAAAAAGGTTGGCCGGGGTCTCCGAGAGTTAAAAGACAATCGCAAATCCGAATAGGGGCCATAGGGCCGCGCAGTAAATGCGCTTCCGCGTTTCGTGGACCGTTCACAGCCATTGACAAGGATCATAAACCGTGCGAGTACCTCCGGCGACAGCACGCATGCCAGAAAGAGCAATAGAGAAAAAGTGACGAGGAACGAGAGAGAGAGAGAGAGAGGAGAGACCGAAAGAAAGGGAAAGAGAGACAAGAGCTGGAGGGACAGAAAGAGAAGAGAGAATACGGGACAGTGCGCGCGTGAGCTTGGCTTCTATCCTCGATAATGCGAGTCGTTCGATGCCTCGGGCGTTGTGTTTGCGATAGGAGGCCGTTCAAGGCTACCAGTTTCCTTCTCGAGTCGCATTAGATCTCGATCCCTGCCGCAGGAACATCAATAGGAATGTCTTGATCGCGGCGGGCACTACCGATACGATATTGCGCGCAACAATGCGATACGAATCGTCGATATCGCGCCGCCATTGTAACGATGTGTTTCGGTCGATTACAGGGAGCCATGCGGGAGCGAGCGAAATGTCGACCGGCGTCGATAAGCGGCGAAATTTCGAGCTCTCAGCGAAGGTTTCGTCGATTTGTGTAACGGCGCTCGATCGGAAGGAGAAGCGGAGGAGAACCGGGGCAACTTCGAATTCGCGTCTCTCACTCGCGAAAGCAGCCGGAGACGGCGCGACAATTAACCGCGCGGTGATCGAATCGTCGGCTAAATTAGAGACGGAGAGGAATTGTAATTCCCCGTCATTGATTCATGGAATACAGCGTGGCGAATCGCGACAGTGTCAACAAATCACGCGTCGCATCGGAGAAGGAGGCGAGCGCGGCGCGCGCGCGCGCGATAGCTATAATCTCCGCGGCTTGGCCCGGCGCAAACGCACGTGGATAATTAATTTATAGCGCCTTAACGGTACCGGAAAATTGCGACCTTGGTGGCTGAGCGTAACAGCCGACTAGGGATCCCCACCGTCGTCGTCCGCGTCGACCGGACTTATTCGTATCTTCGCGAGCAGCGCGATAATTCCGTTTCTTCGCGCTGCCGGCCGGCCAGCGGTGGCTCGTAATAGTTTCTAATGGAACCCTTAGCCAATTACGTAATGCCGGTTTCCGCGGACCTTTTCGCTCTCGGCGATCATCTGCGCGCGAGAGAGAGAAAGGCGCTCGCCCGGCAGTACGAATAGTAATGCTGATGGTAACAATATTGCGTTCTCGGAATCGCGAGTGCGCCGCCTTCCTGCTCTCCCGTCCACCCTACTCGCCGAGACCGAGAGAGGCGGATGGATTCTTCGCGCACCTCCCTGCGTTACCGTCTCGAAATTACGAATCATTCGGGAGTAACGGGGAAGGACTCCGATGCGTCTGTCCCGCGAAGAAACGCTATCCTGGCCGGGGATTTTTATCACGTTTATTGTCGGTGAGCTGCCGCGCGCTGAGACTCGGTGAAAAAATAATTACGCCGCCTCTGTCGGTCCGCGGATTTCCATCTGATTATCTACCTATTATCCACACGTGATTTTTCACCGCTTTATCGTACGAAATATAGTTATATCCGCGCCTCGCAACGGACTATGGTTTAATAGCGGTGGATTATTAATAGCTGAGATACGCAATTTCACAGGATTCACCTTCTCGGTGGGATAGTGCTGCTGGTGCTGGTCGGTAGTGGGGTGCCTATCATCTCGGGGATGTTGTTGATGTCAGCGGCGATAGCTTGTCCATTCTCGTCCGAGCGCATCTTTTCCCGTGCGCGATCGCGGCCGGAACGATCGTCCGCGCGGCAGAAACGTCCGTTTTAAGTGCACGTTACGGTGTACACACGTATGTACGAATGTGCGAGGTACCAGCCGGTATTACACGTCCGTATTACGCGTAATGATAGACCAGGACGGTTCCCATTAACGCTCGGAGCACCCGCGTTTCTTCACGGCGATCGCCTTCTTCTAAACGGCCACCTAATTACATGGGGCACCGAGGACAGGGTCCGAGGAAGGACGGGCGTTCCTCCTTTTGCAGTGTCGCGGGTGAACGCAGTGACGGAAAAATTATTCGCTCGAGCTGTGATGATGTTTCGCGAGACGCCCGGCAAATTTTCGCGCGGTCAATTTAGCCGCACGACAGCTCTTTCCATGAAAGGTTGCTTCTTCAGAAAATTCTATATTCGGCACGGATAAAATTGATTTTTCCGAGAACACGCTGCGCGACTTTAGAAGGTTTATTTCGGAATGGTTTACTCGTTTGGACATTTGGGAACAACGAGAAAACACTCGAATCAATTTTCCTTTCTAGCTTTTTTCGAATCTCGGAATTCGAATTATCGCAGACTGAAAAAAACTGAGCGTCGTGTAATATATACTCGGTTGTAGAAACAAATAAACTTATTGATACACGGGACAAAAGTTTGTATCAACCGGAAAAGAAACGATCAGACGCATTTTGGCTGAAGGAAACAGAATTTCTGGTTGTAGGAACCACATTTGGGTCATGAGAATCGAAAATTTTATTTCCTTCAACCAGAACGCATCAGGTTGTTCTCTTTCTAGATAATACAACCAGATTTTTCTTCTGTGTGACAAATTGATTTAATGAAAGTCCGTCATTGGGCGGACTTTCTATCGCGTTGAACGACTCGATCTTATCTACTGATCGCCCTTTGAATTCAATTCGACGTTCCGTCACGTCTCGTTTTCGGCGCGCTGTCGACCCGTTCTCGGAAGTAGGATGTAACGACGAGAGAGGGTAAAATGGTTGAACTCGCCGATTTAGCTCTGTCGCCTAACGTGTCATTTGCACACGAGCAGATTGCCGGCTGAGATTGCCGGCGCAACTCGAGCCCGTGCGCTTTAAACCGTGCCTCGCGTGCAAAGGTGCCACCTTAGAAATCTGCCAGTCAACGGTCATTAGGCAAAACGTGTGAGGCTGTTAGCAAGCACCATTGTCTTTTATGTTAAAGCGCGGCTATCGTTGCCTTAATGCCCGTCATTAATCATAGATCGTCGCGCGCGCGCACACGGCTGACCCGTTTCAGAATAATTAGTTGCGATCTCGCGCGCGTCCGTTCCGCCGCGAAAAAGTGGCGAGATTGCAACGACGATGCGGTCTGTAAATAATCGCGGACCGACGTCTCTACAGGTGGTTGCCTCCCTACATAATATACGTGACGACGACGACGACTGCGTCGAAACAGCGCTGTCTAAAGGTGAGTATATAGCGAACGGACGAAGGTATAACGTGTATATATTTTCCATATATAATTGTAACAACGAACGTTTTTATTCGCTGTTCGTTCCTTGCGCGTCCGCTCAGTGGATACCCAGTTTAAAGAAAATCCTCATCTGACCGCGTATCGTACATCGTGATTGCGCATGTATATGAAAGAAAAAGCCGATTATTCGCGAGCAAATCTGCATCACATTGTATGCGATGAACGCGCAGCGAGGTTCTTTGCATCCAACGTTCCGTTGGCGTTAGCTTCTGACACGTTGCGTAACGCGACGCGTGCTAAGCTGAGATACGTGACGGAAGTCACGTGTTTATCGGACTCTCAAGCGAGATGGGAGATTGAATCGCGACGTGAATCGATCTCGCGATTATACTTACTGGGGGGGGGGGGGGNNGGGGGGGGGGGGGGGGAATAAAGGGACGGAGAGAGACGGAGACAACACAATGTCGATTGTTTTTCCTCGTCTTGCTGCCTATCGTCTTTCGTTTTGCATCGTCGTCATCATCATTATCGTCATTTTCTTCTAGTTACAACGATTCATCTTCATCTTCCTAGTTAGTATACCGGATTCATTATTTTCCATACCGTATGACTCGAGGCAATCTATCAAACCGTTAATTAATCAAGGCCCGTATTATTATACGCAATGTGAAATGACAATAACGATTCCGTAGGCCGCAACGTGTCTCTTCAATCTTCATCTCTTCCTTCCACTTGTTCTTCTCTTTTCTCCTCTCGCGCGCGTTTCCGTCTACTTCGCGTCGAACACTTCCACTTTGTTTCGTCAATGTACTAAAACGTCCTTCTCCGTCGTGCTTTCGGCTTCGCGCGTTACAATACGTACTTGCCATATGTTTCTCGGCGAACTCGACCGCGTACATATGTGTGCATTGTGTTCGTAAATAGTAAAATTCAACGAAGACGAGGGAAATTCCTACAGAGAAATTACGATATAAATTAAAATATAATAAAAAAAATAATAATATACGCGTATATAACAGAGATATAAAATGTGATAGAAATATAATAATAAAACACAGTAAAAAATTTGATGTTAAATTTAACACATTTCACATGTCCCAAATGGTCCGTTAAAATTTTTGTGTTAATTTAACATAAGGTGAATATGTTGCAAATAATATAAATATTATGTGAAAAAATAACGCAAAATTAATATCCATAATATGTTAATCGACAAGAGCGTAAAATGTTATTTTAACACTTCCGCATGTTGAATATCGACTCGACATAAAATATATAATATATTGAGGTAACATAAACACAATATGCTAAATTGATACACATGGATATGTTAAAAATTTAACTGAAACAGAAATAAAAATATCACCAATTCTACACCAGCTCTTGCTGCTTCTTCAAGCCTCCGGCTCGCGCATCTCGCGCTTCCAAATAGCTCTTAATATTTATTAGCGACAAAACGCGCCTTATTTATCAGGCAATTCGAGGTAATCTGTATTACGCATTATATTCGCGAAAAGCGTTTCGCACCGCGGGGCGTTTTGCATTTAAATTGGACACCGCTGCAAATCGCTTCGGTAATAGATTGTTCGCACAATAAAACATTCGGATAGTTGATGTTCGCGTAACGGAGGTTCTCTCTCGTCGTCCTAATAGCCCTCGGACTGCCGCCCGCGGGCAACGCGCCGAGCGCGCACGCCCGCGTCTAAACGCCATAACTTTTCCGCGAGTGGCCCCGCTCGCGCGCGCAGAATAAATCGAATCATTTTCTCCTTTTCCCGACGCCGTAATAAATTACGCGCGCGTTACTCCTGACGCAACCGCGCGACTCGAGTTACCTGTCGCGCGCGAGCGACTATGGTATTATCGCCTACGCTCTTTTCACGGATTCTTACGACATTCCGCGTACGTTGATTAATCAAAATTAATGCATCGGAAACACGGTAGCTCTCTCGCAGCAAGACGACGTGTCGGCTATTGCGATCTTTCGCGCGACATCAGAATTACCTCCTCGTCACGATTAATAATAACTCACCCGGCTGCAGACCGCGCGACTCGTGGGATGGCGACAGCATTCCCGGGACTTTTCGCGAAACCATATCTATGAACGGACGTTCCTCGTCGTTTATGACGAGAGTGAGTCGTTGAATTCAACCCTTATCAACGTCTTAACCGGCATCGCTCCTGTTGCGTGAGCTCGCACGTGGTAGCTCGAGCGGTAAACAATTAATCAATCATACATCGTCGTGCGTTAATAAGACCGATTAACTCGAGATAATTTTATCCTTTCCCGGAGATTAAAATTCCGCGTCTAACGTCCAGCGATGGCTCTTATTAGCTTATCGTTCTTATAAAATTAAAATTATTTGTAAAAACTAAGTTATTTCTTCGATTTTTATCTAACATCTGACGAAAGCAAATTGCACTCCAATTTTCATTGGGCCACTTTAACCTCTCGCAATCGCAATATTTTTCACCCATGAATGGTTGCATCGCGTCTTTATCGCGACTAACCGAGGCTTAACGTTTATTGGACCAGACTTCGCGTTCTCGTTGCATGTTCTCCATAAACACCTCCGACGGCAGGATCCGTCCTGGACATGCCCGCTGCCGTCGTCGATCGTCTGTCGGAAGATGGATGACACCGTCGTTTTACGGCGTGCTGCGTCCGTTCGGGCGACGGCAAGAAGTAGAAAACACTCGACGCGGCTTTGTCACGGCCTCGATCGCGGGGATCGGCATTCGGAACGAGCGTTTAGCCCGTAAAAGGCCGAGGGGCCGTGTCGCCGGTGCGTGCGGTTCGATATGCGCCTCCGTGCGGCGTTTCCACTCGCGAGGAGCTTTCGATGTTACCCGGGAGAAGTGTACGCGGAATTCGAGAACGCAGAAAACGCGCGGCGTTGGCGATGCGAAATAAAGGTGTGCTGTTCGAAAACGATCACCTTGCGATTTTAACCGGGGAATTTACGCGTGAGCATTTCTTCTTCTTCTTTTTCTTTTTTTTCCATCAGACATCGCGTCCGACAGTATCTCTTTGGTTGCTTTTGCAAATGTTCCGTTTTGGAACACCGTTAGAACGTTTTAATTTTACATATCGGAACAGTATGCTATATTTTATTCGACAAAAATTATCTGCGTGTATTAATAACTTATTATTTTATCATTATCATATTGACTTATCGATTATCGCATAAATAATATCCGGTCGATGAGAATCACCGATCGTCGCAATGGTCTTTTTAATTTCATCTATCACGATGCTAGCGATTGCGCTCTCGAGACGATTTTTTAACGTTCTGCTTATCATCTCTTTTTCTTATCATTCGCATCCAGCATCCTCGATGCTGAGACCTCAGCTGAAACCTCAGACAAGCGCAATGCTCCTATTTCTCGCGTTGATTTCTAGAGCTTTTTCATGTACAGCTCCTTGCGTTTATATCACGTCGCGAAGACCGGTAAAGCGTCGGAGAAGAAACTAAGGTACGACGTCCAAAAATTGCTTCGGATCGCGCAACACTCTAACGATTCCGAGCGCG